ATATGTTCACATATGATTCACGAAAAACATGTCACATATGCACATATATGCACATCACATTTCCCCGTCCACTCTAGTCTGCACGTATCAAGTAAAGCTGCCCAGATGATAATTTTGCTAGAGTATAGTTGATTGGTATTATGGCCTAGCTCCGGCATATTCCGACCTAAATTTTCGATCTACTGCGCGGCTAATCTATCCAAAATTTTCCTGCACGTGATATATGGTCATCCGATTTGTATGATTTAATTAAAAATATAATTTTTTTAAACTTTGAGCGAAGCTTTCTCAACAACCAATTAACTGATCTCAATAAAATTTTTTTATTTGAATTCTATAGCTCTGTAGAATTCAAAAAAAAAAAAAAAAATTTTATCGAGATTGGTTGGGTGGTTGTCAAGAAAACATCACGTTTTTGAAAAATTTCACGTCTAAGACTTCGTGCGACGTTTTCTCGACAACCACCTAATCAATCTCGTAAAATTTAAACTTTTTTTTAATTTGAATTCTATAACTTTGTAGAATTTAAATAAAAAAAGGTTTTGGTGAGATTGGTTAAGTGGTTGTTAAGAAAGCTTCGCTCAGAGATAATTTATCCCGCCTATAAACTGCTATTCTTAATTGTTTTTAAACTTTGAACGATGTTTTCTCGACAACCGCCTAACCAATCTTGATGAAAATTTTTCATTTGAATTTTACCGCACTGTAGAATTCAAATATAAAAAATTTTATCGAGATTGATTAGGTGATTGTCAAGAAAACTTCTTCAAAGAACAATAAACTTGTTTATAAAATTTCTTTAACTTTGAGCGAAGTTTTCTCAACAAACACCTAAACAATGTCGCTGAAACTTTTTTCATTTGAATTCTACAAAGCTTTAGAACTCAAATGAAAAAATTTTAATCAAAGATTGGTTAGGTGGTCGTCGAGAAAACTTCGCTCAAAGTTTAAAAAACATTAAGACGGGAAATTTTTTTATAATTTGAGCGATGTTTTATTGATAACCACCTAACCAATCTCGATAAACCCTTTTTATTTGAATTCTACAGAGCTAGAGGATTCAAATAAAAAGTTTTATATTGAGATTAGTTAGGTAGTTGTTGAGAAAGCTTCGCTCAAAGTTTAAAAAAAATTATATTTTTTAATTTTGAAATGATGGTACACAAATCGGATGAAAATTCCGGTAAGCATTATCATGTGAGTGAAAATGAACGGGTACCATAATCACGGCTGATTTATCATCTTGGCCTCTCATAACTTCTAAGTATATGATGGCAGCTACTCGAATGCAAACTGACGTTCCGACGCCTCAAGATTCTCCTGACTTTTCAAAGAAGGACTGGCCCGGTCGCTGGTCTCATATCAATAAAATACTGGATAGGAGAGGTCCCTTTTGTGACAAGAGTTTCAGTCCTGGTCACGGTGAGGTATAGATAATTAACCATTCGTTATTCTTTTGATCTTTGGAACGTTGTTACTACAAAAAAACTTTCTATAATAAAATTGTAGGATATTTTACTTAATCAATGTAGAGTTCTCGTAATCGGTGCTGGCGGTCTTGGCTGTGAGATCTTGAAAAATTTAGCACTGTCTGGTTTTAAGGATATCGAAGTTATCGACATGGATACCATCGATGTCTCGAATTTTTTTATTCCAAGTGGTTAACCTACTATTTAAATAAAATTTCAAGGTAACAAAATCAAGATTGATTACGTAAATATAAGCATTGTATAATGGTTCAAAAGTGTGTTATATTTTCGTTGTTGTTGGATGTTCATCTATATAAAAAGATTATAAAATATATATTCCCCATGTATTGTATTATTTAAATGTAGGAAACTGTAATATTTAACGAAATAGGTAGAGTAGTATCCGTAACTATTATATTATAACCATCCTTAACCAATTCTGATAATCGCTTCTTTAGATTTGGTCTAGTACGTTGCTCAAAGAACGGAGGAGATTGCCAATATATTTTTTCATTAGTGTCCGTTGTTAAACTTGGTTTCTTAAGTTGACTATTATAAAGAAATTAAGACAATTCAATCACATAGATAAAAAAAATACTTCGTCATATCATAAAACTCACATGTTAGGTTTTTCTTTAAGAAATTCGATAAAATCTTCAACAGTAATGTCTTTATCAACCTCCAAAAATGCGCTTTGATTTCCGCAAACTGGGCAATCATCTTTTTTTTGATGCTCAAATGTATAAGTGTACAAACCCTCATTACCCATATACATCATATAGTTGTTCAGGTAAGGTTGCGAGGTCGTAACAATTTTAAATGCTTCATTACAACATGCAGCTGTAAAAGTGAATTTAAAATAGCATTATGAGACAAAGAAATTCACAAGGGTAAAAACGATATCATTATAACAATAAATTTACCTGAAATGATAGCATTTGTTGAAGCAATTGCCGGAATAATATTTTTTACAACGCCCTGAGTGAGCGAATAGGTGACACCCGTAATATTAAACTCCATCGCCCTTTTGAGTGCAACATCATATAACCATTGTATATGCGTTGGATCATCGGTATCCATTTTTTCACCTAGACGTGAAAATATATGTATATCTAAATCATAATACTATCTATAAATAGTCACTAAAAGTTTAATATCTAACCTTCACGTTCTTTTGGCCATTGTATAACTGACGCCCATTCTATACAATGCTCTGGCAATCTTGGTGTATTTGCAATGGTGCAAATTGGAAACGCTGTTTGTTTATTTAACATATCTAACGAACATTCATAACAAGATGTTACCGTCGGGATGATCACACGGGCTTGACCCTTAAAACCTACAGGAATTTAATAGATCGACAATTCTAAATATTAAGAATTCTTTAGATATTCATATTTAGATATTCATATTTAAATGTTTTATTTCATCCCTACCCTCGGTCCCACCGTCGATCAGAACACGAATTTTTTCGGGATCATCGTGTGCGATGTTCACCAACG